GCTACTAGCCCTACGTAAAAAGGTTTGTAAGTTAATTATTGACAAGAAAGGAATTTGGAATTCTAAGAATTAAACTTACCAGAAAAACAGCCAACATTGTGGTTATTATAAACATAGTAATCTTACTATTACTAATTGAATTATGTTTATGTATATTTATAAGAATTTAGAACATTAAAAAAAAAAAAGATAAATCTTACCTGGAATCAAGGAACCATATTTGATCAAAATAATAGATTATTGTAATAGCATTGGTAAAAATATTGAAAGCTTTTAGCATAGATATTATGTTATACAAACTGTTTGAGACACCAAAACCATGTGATAATTAGCATCACATTAGTTTTAAATACTTAATTTCTTATGCTTAAAACTATGTGGTGCTAATTATTATATTGTTTGGGCTGTTCCAACTAGTTTGAATGGCAACTGAGGGAATAAGAATTTGCTTTGGTAAGCTAAATGGACATAAAAACAGGATAAATTGTGGTATTGTGTCTTTTATATGTTTTTCTCTTGATAACTTGTTTAATACTAGCCTAAAAAGACAATTAAAATGATTTGAAAAAAGTTGCACAGTTAAAATTGTACCTTGGTAAAGACCAACAGCTTCAATAAACTATTCACAAAACATTCAAATCTCTATATGATTTATTATTGAATCAATGCTTTATTTTCGGACTACAATATCTTCCTTTCACTTTAACTTTACTTTATGAAATAGAGATATTGCAGTGTTAGCTATCATCAGAACCTTTAAAAAGAATATGTGAGAAAACATACTATGCTAATAATATATGTATACACCTTTATTCTTTGTATAATTATATTTCAATGTTAAGTTTCATGTTATGAAAACCAAAAAATTAAATTTGTACAGCTAACTTATATAAAATCCAGTTATTATTTATATAGCTGCACCTTCTTTCTATAGTCAACCTTTATAAGTGCATTTTATACAACTTCTCTCTATAAGTCATATCATTTGGAGGTCTGTTATAAATTATATATAGTTGAGACTAAATCATCTTCATAAGCGCATATTTTACAATATGCTTTTCTTCAACATTGAGAGTTGACAAAATAATTACCTCTATATGGGCACAATTCTTCATAGCCACTCTACAACATATTACTCTTTTGTGTTTTAAATTAATAATGGCTTAGTAGTATATTAAAAGTATACAACTAATTAACTAATTAAAGAAATTAATTATTAAAATCATAAAAATCACACTCTATTAGAGTATTTTGGAGAGCATTTCATAGGACATATGAATTCTATAAGAATTCAGATGTAGGAAACTACTTTAGAAGCAAAGCTATTCTTAAGATACTTGATAATATGATTAATTCTTTTATAATTTGTGTACTTGTAATATAGGTTAACATTTTTATTAAATTTATTTATGATAAAATATTCAGAAAACAGATTAATTGAATGGAATAAGAAATAATAAAAAAAAACCTGGAAATATCTGATGAACAAAAGTATGTCTAATGTAACAACTTTTGTATCTAAATAAGAATAACTTTTGTATTACATAAGTACTGTACATATTACTGTACTATATATATTAATTAACATGTTTTATATGATTATATGCTGAATATTAAAAAAAGAACCTTTTATTATTAATCTATCTAATTACCAAGTGCAATTGATTTTTGTATTGTTTTTGAATTTAGAGATCCATGTTTTACAGTATCTATGCCTAAGCCTTTTGAGAAAAGTCTTTCAGACACTGCACTTGTTGCTGGTATGGCAAGATAATCATGCATTATAGCCACCAACTTTGGAAATTCTTCTGAATATATTTTCTACCACTGATATATATTCATATTATGATGTACTACAGGACTATTTAAATACTGTTTAACCTTATTTACCTCATTTGTAGACTTATGAAGTTTATCAAAAACTCATTTAAGATGGCCACTACCAAAAACATTATTAACTACATCAGTGTTAACATTACTAACTACAATGTTTTCATATTTGTTATATTTATTATTTAAATATTCAGTTGCCTAATCAACTCACCTCTTATCCCACCTTTTTATTTTATAATACCTTGTCTTTAACCTTAGATCCAATAAAGTTGTTATCATATATATTGGATTATCACACTTTATATAATAGAGCTTTAATTTATTAAGAGCTGCTCTGATGGCCTCTCTTATATTTCTGAATGAACATTTTATTTTCAAATCTTTAAGATCATCTATAATTAAATTAAAGACTAGTATGGCAAAAGGCATTATTATGTACAATTCACTGCACAAATCTTTAGAGACATTGTAAAAAGTTTTTAAAAGTAAAGTTATTTCTTCAAGCATACTCTATTCTCTTGATAAAAGATCTAATTTAGTAGTACAAATTGAAAATTGATTAATCAATTGGCTGTCTTAGTTAAATCAATAATTTTGATCCAACTATTAATCAATTTATTTGGCTAATCAATGAATAGTTGGGTCAAAATTATTAAATTGATTATTTAAAATACCAACTGAATTTATTTAGCTCTTGAATTTTATCAACTATTTTATTGATTGCTGGTGTCATGTTAATGGTGCATTCAATCATGTTAAGTATTGAATTTCAATAGGTCTTGGAGTCACAAATTGGAGTGCTAAATTGTATTTAATAAGATTGGCATAGGTCACTTAATCTTTTGCAATGCTAAGATGAACTTTGAAGTTTGGTGATAAGCTTTCGAAGCTTTTTGATGGTTGAAGTTTGGAAGATGGTTGGTTTAAGATATGAAGTTCATCTTTATCTTGATCTGGTGCCTCTGAATTTAGGTAGCTTAAAAAATCTTGCAAAGCAAGATTAATAATATGAGCCATGCAACAAACATGACCTTGTTGTTTGACAAAAGAGCCACCATTATCTCTACACTAAACTTCAAATGCTTCAAGTAATATATTATTACTTGCAGCATTATTAACAGTTATTCCCAAAATTTTATTAACAATACCAAAATCATTACAAATACTAAATAAAGTATTTGCCATGTTTACTCTAGTGTGCACTTTATCAAAATGTACAAGGTCAAGAACTTGCGACTTAATCTCTTAGTTTTCATTAATCCAATATGCTATAACATCTAAAAAAGCTTTACATGAATTACTTGTCCATATGTTAGTTGTAAGAGATATCTTACTCGAATTATTTATTAAAGCATCTCTTATAGATTCTTTTAGTTTTGAGTATTGGTTTAACAAATACCGCTTGATTGTCCTTGCAGAGGGAAGTGTAACATTGTTATCTAATTTTTTAATTACCTTAACCAACTCTTTAAAGCTTTCCGATTTAACATTAGTAAAAGGATGACTATTGGCTATAATCTACTTGACTAATGCTTCTCTAAGAATACACTCACCAGGCCTAGAAACAACTGGAAAATTTCCAGTACTAACTGCCTTTACAATATTAACTTTATGAACATTAGTAATATGACTATGTAGACTAGTATTAAAACTTTTGTTAAGGGTGAGATATGTTTCTTTGTTAGTGCACAACTTGCATTTGGCTTTTATTTTGTCATCTTTTAGAATGGGCAGTTCAAAGAAAAGCCACACTGAACTTTTGTTTGAAATGTTTGAAGTAATTAGTACATTTGGTACATTTGGTATATTTAAAACTAGTATGTATGTATTAGCAAAAGAAGAAAAAGCCATTGTTTGAAATAGGATAACAAGTATGTGATAAATTTATTTTAATATTTAAGTTATGTGATTTTATTCATTAATAACCAAATTACAAAGCAAACCTTTTACCTTTTTTTTCTCTATTTAAATATGCCTACAAAATTGTGCATAATGATCATGCATAATAATGACTGCTCGCAATAACCTTTGCACATAATGATTATTCACAATGATCACATATAATATTTATGCATAACTTTTACACATAACATTCATGCATAACAATTGTGAATATGAAAATTCGAAATAATCATGCATAATGTTTTGAGCATAATGATTGCTCATGATATTTACACATATAATGATTACTCATAATAATTATGCAAATAATCACTTACAATAATCATGCATAGCAATCATGCATAGCAATCAATGCATAGTGATTATTCATTTAAAAATTTGAAAAAAAATATAAAGCAATTGTGATCAAAAAAAATAAATAAATAAACAAGTCCAACTTTTTTTAAAATTGTATTATTTTGACAAATAAGTTTTATTTTTTTTCATTTATTACATCTTTTTTTTCAAGTATAATAATTTATAAATTTATTACACTAAAATTGTTCTAAATACATCTTAAATAAAATAAAACCAAACTTTTATAACCTAAACATTATTACAGGTTTTTCTTTTGCAGCACTCATAAATTATTACCTATACAGTTTTATTTGTAAAATCCTTAGTACTATATAAGGCACTTATTCTTTTCTCAAATCTGTTTTATTCACATTATCTAAATTATTTTGCAAAATCCTTTCACTATAAAGATCTCAATATTCTAATCCTTGTAAATGAATTGCTTATATAATTATATAGGCAAGTTAGTAATAGATCTGGATTTAGTTAACCTAAATATGCTAGTAGTTAGTCTAATAAAAATTTCTTGTTACAAAAATAGATAAACCAAATTTATTAATTGAAAATAGATAGATATCTTTAATCACCTTTAAAATTAATTTTGTGCTAATAATTATACCAGTGCATGATTCATCAAGATGATTAATATTGGCAATAATTTAACACTTCATCTGCTTCTAAGACTTACTTTTTAGTTTTATTATCATTTGAACTAGCTATCTTACCAAGCCAACTACTTATTATTTTATAATAACCTGGTGTAAGTTTAAGCCCCAAGTTATCCACCAGTATATAAATATTTAACTGAGTACAAAATAGTGTCATTCTCTACCTAACTACATTATTTAGCCAATTCAATATAGCATTTAAGAGTTCTAGGTAGAAACTCTGATTATGATCCTTTGCAAATCTCCAAGTTAAGCATTAAATTATACTTGTACAAGATTTTGCCACAATGAACTTTTTACTGCAATCTGCATATAATTGCTATAGTTATTTTTTGATGCTCCAATACAGTCCAAGAATAAAGGATTCTTGTAACCAATTTCACAATAATTTTTCAATTCTTGGATAAATCCTTGCTCATTTCTGTTTGAATTATGAATAACTTTAAGTGCAACAGACCACCACATACCATTAATTCTATCAACCCAGTGCTATAATAACACAAAACCCATAAATATCTGCCACTTGTGTAAACTGTTTCTTATCTGATAAAACTTTTGGTGCAGCATAGAGCATAATTCTATAAATTTCTCCTAAAATAATGTCACTTATTTAGAATAGTATTTTTAATTGTCAAACCTTATAGAAAAAAAAAAAGAATAATATAAGAATTGAATCTGTATACCTTTTTCTATTTTTTAAGAATATTATCTCTACCTTGGACAGCCAGATCTGTATTGCTCCTGATCAGTTATAATTCTAGACAATCCAAGATCTGTAATATAAGTGGGTTAGTTGGTCTTGCAAAATGTTGCTATATGAAAATCTGCATATAGTAGTGAATATTAATAAGTAAAAATAAGATATAAATCATGGTAGATTTAAAATATTATTACAGTATTAATAAGAATAAAATAAATACTGATTAATAAGTAAAAGTGAAATATAAATCATGGCAGATCTAAAATATTATTATTAATGAGAATAAAATAAACAGTATTTTTATATATATATATAATAGTGCTATAATATATAAAAGTGCTAAAGTACTATCACTATTTCAAAGTTTAAAACTAAAAATAAATTTTATATCTGATACATGATTTGTGTAATCGATAGATGCTTAACTTTTTCAAAAACTCAAATGTTGAGTTTTTGTTCAATTTTGCCAAGCACTAAATTTAGAAGAAACAAAATTAATCTATTTAAGTGTTCATTCCTCTTTAAAAACAGTATCAGAACAGAGGTACCTCCTCTTGTTTCTAAAAAACATAGTACTTTGACTATTGAAGCTTACAAATACAAAAAAACTAAGCTTAATAATTATGCTAATATAAAAAAACTTATTGCACATAACAAAAAAAGGTCTCATTCTAAAAAGAATACTACAACAGCAAGCAATTATTCAACTTCTTTGGTAACTTCTATACAACTAGACACCAATGACAACAGCATACTTAGTTGGGATGAACAAGTCTTACTAGAAAACATAGAAGGTATTTTTGAAAATAAAAAAAACCAAAACAATGAACTAAATGCATCTGATTATGAAATACATACTGAAGAACCTAATAACAATGAAAATTCAATATTAACAATAGCAACACACATAAACTCATACATAATGTCATTAACTGACTTGAGTTTAACTAAAGTAACTAAAAACAAAAAAACCCTAAACAGATACTGGACAAGTTTTTTTATGAAAGTCAAAAGAGAATAGTCATCTTTTTCTTCTTTTTTACCAAGAAATAATATAACATTAAAAAATGATAATGCTCTTATTCTAGATATTTAATATCTAGCTGACTCACTAAATAAAATTATGTTTTTATTTCATGAAACTGCAGAATGTGATATAATAGCAGCTAAGCTATATATTTACAAAGATACATGTACTTACTTGGAATTAGTTTTTTTAAACAAAAAAAAACTAAAGCATTATGTTTTCAAAGAAATACAAATCTTTAACAGAACATATTATGGTTATATTTCTTCTAACACAAGAAGATTTTTCTCTTAATTAAAATCAGAAATGTTCTATTAAGTGACAAAGACCTCATCTTAGAAGAAATTAGAAAAATCTTTGATAATATAGACAAAATTGTCTCAATTAAACCACTTTTAATCGAGGGCACACTATAATTAACAGATCAATAGATTGTCACATTTGAAACTACTAATGATCCAGAACTTAAAGAAAGAATTCCACGATTCTATATTCTTATGAATAACAAAATTATCACAGAATGGCACTTAGCCCTAAAACTCTGCTTCTTCTGTAATGAAAAAGGATATATTAAAAAGAAATGTTCTTAATACTTACAAGTAGTCAAACTCTAATTACAAAATAAAGAATATAATACAAACAAGAAAAAAAGCAGAACTATTCCTTATAAAAGAGAAGAAGAAATTTCCAAAGCACAAGAACAAGAAATCCTTACAAAAGACCTAAATATGGATATAAATCAAACTGAAAAAATTCTTTTAGCTAATTCAGAAGAAATAACTAATTCTGAAAAAATCAAAACAGAGATTATAGAAACCTGTCAACAATAAAAGAAGATCTGGTAGTTTCTTATAATGAAACTCTAAGTAATGTTAATAAAGAAAACCTTCCTATTAACAATATTTCTAGTACTATTATTACAGAATTAGAAAAATCTTAAGCTTTGAGCTCTTCTCTTAATGTTAATTGCAAATAACATTAATCTGCAATCTTATTTTAATAATGCTGAGAAGGAATTCATAGTTGTTTCATATAAAAGAAAAAAAAATAAGAAAGCTTCCACAAAACAAAAGACTGAGCCAATCAGAAAGGCTTTATACAGAAATTCTCATAATAAAGTACAGAATTCCCAAATCTAAATCTGTATCACTAAACAATTTTTTCATAACTAATTACATCAAATTTAAAATGACAACTCTTAATATAAAAAGGTTAAACAATCAACAAAAACAATGAAACACTTTAATTTTTTTAAAATTATATAAACTAGACCTAATCATGCTACAAAAAACAAATCTAAATGATGAAAGCACATGATACTTTCTCAAAAACCAATGAATGTTTGACTCTATTTGGATAAACAAAATAGCTATACTTGTAGGCAACAAAGATATAATCTTTAAAAACATTAAAATGGATTTAAATAATAGAATAATCATTACCAAGTTTAAGTACAAAGAGCTTACATTTCAAGTTTTCAATATATATGCTCCATCTAGCTCAAAAAATAAAAAACTTTTTTTTGAAAAATGTTCTTCTTATATTAAAAAAAATGCTATTAATATTATTGGAGATAATTCAATACTAACCTCTATCCAAAAAGAGATAGAATTAGTGAGGCAGCTTCACAATGTGATATCACAAAAGCACAACTTCAAGATCTTACTAAAAATTTCTTAGATTTCTCTAGCTTTGCAAAAACAAAGCCTTTCTATACCTTTTTTCAAAAAACTCAAGACAATTACACTATGGCTTACATTTGAACTATATTTTTGTTAACAAAAAGAATGCTTACTTAATCTCAGAAGTTAATACAAAATTTGGAAACTCAGACCATCTGCTGGTTGAGTGCATCCTAAACTTCAACTCTAAGGGCAAAGAATCTGCTTTCTGAAGGTTTAATAAAAACTGCTTTAGAAATGAAAGACTAAAAAAAAAGATATTAGATGAAATCTTAGATTTAGAAAATGTGAAAGATTGGGACTTCTACAAAGTACATATACAATCTATTATTAGAGCCTTTAGAAAACCAAGAGTGTCAGAAAACTAAATCACAAAACTAAACAAAAATATTATTTAACTAAAAAAAAGACTAATACATAATTCTGAAAACAACTATCTATATTTACAAATCGATATGCTAAACTCAGACCTTTAAGAAGAACTATCTCAGTTTGCTAAAAAATAACATCTCATTCTAAAGCCTAATGGATTGAACAAGGAGAAAAAAATTTACAAAATATTTTTTCACCAAATATAAAATAAGAAAAGCTAGCTTTGTATTAAAGAACATTAAAAATCCTAAAGCTTTACAACAAACAAAAAAAAACACTTTTTGCTATATAAGAAAAAAATATGCAAAAATCTATAAAAAAAAGAATATAGATATCAGCTCAGCAGAAAAAATTACTAAAAATTTGTTGCAAGTTTCCTCTATATATAACTTGTCTCTTATTCAAGAAATCACACAAGAGGAAATTAGTAATTTTATTAAAAACCTCCTAAATAATAAGGCTTCTGGCACAGATAGAATAACATATAAGTTTTATAAACTTACTAAAGAAGTAATAACACCAGTTCTTTATAGTATTTTTAATTATGCTCTTAGCTTAGAAGTTATGCCAACTTCTTGGTATAAAAGTTTAATTTTGCTAATACTTAAAAAAGCAGAAAATCTTGAAAATATGAATAACTAGAAACCAATATCACTAGTTAACAATGATTTCAAAATTTTTATAAAGATCTTAGCCAATCGTTTTAACCTAATATGCAAGAAGATAGTACCTCAATAACAACATGGATTTATCAAAAACAAAACTATTACAGATGTAGCTCTCGATATTATTACTACTCTGAGAAACCAAGTAGATTCTTCTAAACAATATTGGCTACTTCTTATTAATCAACAAAAAGCATTTAATTATATTAATTATAATTTTTTAGAACTAAGTTTAAAGAACATAAACTTTGATTACAAATTTATAAGCCTAGTATATAATCTTTTTTCTAATCAAAAAGCTCACATTATAGATGCTAGGGCTATCTTCAGACTACTTGGAGTAGAAAGAGATGTTAGTCAAGAAAATTCTCTTTTTTTACTTCTTTATATACTAGCTTTTAAGCCTTTTATAAGAAATCTAGAAAGACAATTACAAGATATAAAATTAGGAAATTAGTTTTTTAGAACTTCTACTTATATAAATGATTTAACAATATGAATTAGGTCTTCTATAGACTGGGACAAAACTATAGCATCACTAAGCCTATATAAGGCAGCTTTAAATGCAAAAATTAATAGAACTAAAATCAAATTAGCTCCTTTTACAACCATAGCTCAACAATAGAACTTACTAATAAAAACCAATTTATTAAATTAGAAAAACAAGAAAATGTTACTATTTTTGGACTATAACATTCTTATTAATGGACAATCAAAGAAGAATCTCTGGCTTACTATTATTAACAAGCTAAAAAAATCTCTGAACAAGCTTCTAAACAGAAGCCTCTTTTTTAAAGTAAAAATTTTAATCACAAAGTTACTTATCTTATTTAAAGTTTGATATTTAGCTTATCTGCTATCTTCAAACAGAAAGCAGATGGCAGAAATTAATAGAATTATAACCCTTTAGATTAAGGATATATCATGGATGCTGCCCAAATATTCAATCTTTTAGCAATTGATAGAGTTAGAAGGTCTCTAAGTTCCAGTTATTAAAGACATGCTAGATGCCTATTTAATAACAGTTTGGATGAGACTTCTTATATCCAATGCCATGTAGGCAATATACAAAAGAAATAAAATACAGTCAATACTTAGTAATAAAAAAAACCTTTTTCCTATTCAGAT